TTTGGATGGTGCTCAGCTGCAGGCGGTTTTGTTTGTTTGTTTGTTTGCTGTGTGTTTGAGCAAATTTGCTCGGCAAACTCACTTTCATGTTTAATTAAAAGATAACACACACACACACACGGGTGCACACACACACACCCACAGAGACACGGCTACACGTGTGCCAAAACGGGGCAGGAGTTGGCTGGGCCACTGATATGACAAGTCTTTAAGCAGCATTTGCGTCGTTTATCAGTGGGTAAAAGTTCTCCTCCCTCTGCCCAAGCCACTTTTGCACTTTGCTTTTGCCCAAATTTATGCAATTTTCGAGCATAGAACTTTTGCACCTGTATGTGTGTGTGTGTGTGTGTGTGTGTGAATGCATTTGGCTGGAAAATATAGGGACGGCGAAAACTTATCAGCAGAGAGGGGTAGGGAGTGGGTGCTCCCTCCCGCTTAGCGTCTCATTTATAATTGAAAGCTTTAAACTCAAATTTATGGCCAACTTTTCGGCTATTTAGCATATCAAATCGTTAAGGCACACACACACACACACAGAGCTCTATATGTGTGTGTGTGTAAAAGAAACAAAAAATTTCAATTGCGTTTCGCATTTTTATGGATATTTTTATAGTACTACTGCCGGCCATCAATTAATGTCGTTGGCCATAAAAACAAAGTTCTATAAAGTGATTGACTGTCCAGCAAGTTGAGTGACCCCCAGGGGGTTGCGGGGTGCTGACTGTTCCGGGTGGGCCTCAATTGCCAAGAGTTGGCATGTTGAAATATTTAAAGCCGCTTAAACAAATTGTGGTCTGGTCAATGCGGTGACTTCTCAGACAGTAAAACACACAAACGAGTGGGCACGAGATAGGGAGGCACAGTGACAGAGGGAGAGAGGTAGAGAGGTAGAGAGGTAGAGCAAGTACCCAGAGCGAAAAATCAATAAAATGGAGGGGTCTTGGGGCTCAGCTTCGTAATCTCCACACATAAAACTCGGCTTCCCGTTAAGCCGCATTAAATTACAAATTCCATTAAAATGATTATTAAAGCAAGTATTTGCTAATTAATTTACTTTCTGGCAACGCACAATGGCGAGCACAGGACGCAATTAATAAATCCTACATTATAATCAAGACTGGCAGAGGCAAGACTGGTCAGGCTTTGGGCACAAAACACACCCTGTTAAAGGCACACTTTTGGGAGACATTTGCCTGCTCTTTGGGTGGTCATTAGGTGGGGCCACTCCAGCTTAGATTATGTTAATTACACTTGGAGTTTGGACATTTTGGGTGGCGATTGTTGAGGGCTCTTAAAGGAAGATTTTGGCGGAGAGAGAGTGACATTAAAAGAGCTTTAATTGATGCTTAGATAATGCTTTTAAGTATACAACAAATTCTCAAAAAATAAATACATATATCTACGAAATAATCTACGAATAAATTAAGATTTTTTGGGTGTCCCAAAATATATACATTTACTGTATGGAGTTCACAGACAAATCGAATAAGATTAATTAAGAGCACATACACATTCCAGAAAGCAGATTCATAGAGTAATTTTCTGACTCATGGCCCAGTGTCAATTATAATATTTTTGCAACATTTTTCCATTGACAGAAATACAGCAAATGCACCAAAAGTTAGACAATCTCCCAGGCACACTCTTTCTTTAGGTCATGGCTTCATTTCGCTACCATATCACCTCCATTAATGCCTAAGAGAAACAGAAGCAGCAACGGCAATCCCTGCAGCATACAGCATTCCACATTCCGCATTCAGGCAACTATGGATTCAATTAGCCACAGCCAATAGATGTATCTGTAACTAGTGACAACACCCAAGCATACACACATAAAGCACCCACAAACGAGACACACACAGAGAGCCAGACAAATCATCATCCTACACAGCCAATCCAATTCCATAGCAATTCCATTAGCTTGTGCTGCTCGATGCTGGGTGCTTGCTGGCTTTATTGTGTTGGCATCGTAGCAATCTACCCTTTGTTACCCACTGAAATGAACACACACAATGAATTACGAACGCCACATGACCCCGCACAGCATAGTAAGAGGCAAGGGCAGTGGCAGTGTGGCAAGTACTCGTAGTTCTTATGAATAATGAAGCAAATAATCTGTCAGCGTCGCAGCCAGCCGCCTTAACCAGCCACAGCCGAAAAATAAGGAGCAGAGCCGAACGCCAGAAGGACCAAACGAATGTCACAGTGAGAAATCTAAAGCGACACAGCGACCAAGACCAAATGACTCAATTTGGGAGGGAAATTCGAGCACTTTCATTCCGGATTGAGCCCGCCTACGACATTTGGCGCTGTCTGCCACATGCTTCAACGCAGAGGAGCGATAGGGAGAGGCCAGTCAAAGGGAGCGAGTGTCCAGAAGAAAGCGAGGGAGTTCAGCGAGTGGCAGTAGGAGAGACCGGGGTCAGTGCTAATAACACGAAATCCGATTTGAATGGTACGGTGCGGGGTTGGCCCCCTGTGCGTGCGATAAAAGCAGCAACAATATCACGCAGTCTGCGGTTTTGCTCGCTTTACACTAACAAGAAGAGTCTAATAGGCTTCTACGACAAGTTTGCCACTCATTAGAGTGTGGGAATGGCGACAAAAGTGTATCCAAAACTTCGGCGCTGCTTCCTCGATCAATTTTCGCTGCCACGCTGCGTATGCGTAACGTGCGTTTTAATGAAATATTGAATTTTATTGCCTGCGTGCCAGCAACGACTTCGTGCTGGACAGAACCGTCAGCCGCCATGAGCTCCCCCGTAACCAGAACTGAACTGGCAGCCTGTCAACAACTTTCAGCGCTCTCTCTCGTGTTTCGTGGTCCAAAAAGCTGACCCTGACCCAGGCCGCTGCTTAACAACTTGTCACTGCCTCGAGGGGCAGGGTCTGGGAGATGATGTCTGACTCGCTGCCAGCTCCACTCCTGCTACTGCCCCCCTACCGCTCCTTTTCTCGCTCCTAATTTCATTCATTTTTATTTGTTATGCAAAAAACTTGAAGTATATTATTATTTCCCCATATAGGCATGCGCTTTATTCCTTCCTACCCCCAGGTCCTGGCCGCCTTTCACTTTTTAGCCTGTGTATAATTTTTTTATGTACTTTTTTTCGGTTGCGCTTGCCTCTAATAAAAGCAATTTATGAAGCCCAAAGCGCGGAAATGAATTGTTAACCGAACAAAAAAGAAGTACAGAAAATGAAACTTTTGGTCAGGGTAAAGCGGCCAGGCGCTGCCCTGGTTAGTCCTTGTTGGAGATGAGAGCGGGGAGAATGACTCCATGGGTGGTTGTCAGGTTGTCCATAGGATGTGTCCATGATGTTCGCTGATGAGTGGGTGGTACAAACGCCTTTGTCCTTTGTTTATGGTCACGGGAATCCCCTCCGCCAGCTCCTGCCCCCTGCCCCTTGAATGTACCACACGTAAACGCCTTTTGTGGCATTGTGAAATTTCCCAGAGCGCACATAAAAATGAAAAACGCCAAAAGGGGGAGATAAAGTGAGTGAACGAGATGGCGGAGAGTGTGCGAGGGAGGAGGAATCCGGTCGAAAGAGAGAGAGAGAGGGAGGGAGAGAGAGAGAGAGAGTCCAAGAGAGATGGAGTAAAAATCATTGAGCTATGGAAAGGATGCAATCGGTTGATGCTTCGTCGGCAGCAGGTGCATGCTTATACGTAGCAGGTGATTCCAATTAAGGAAGCTAATACGATAAGTACTCGACATTTAGGAGCAAAATGAGGGGCAAAAAACTGCTGCAGGAGCAGAGAAACAAGAGGAAAAGACAGGGAAAAAGAAGCGTATCCAATGAGTAGAAGGAGCAGGAAAAACTAGACGCAAAATAAGGAATAAAGAGAGTGTGGAATGAAATGAGGAGTCAAATTGTGTAAACAAGAGACTTCAAAAGGAGGTGAAATTATACACGCCTCAAAATGAGTTAAAGAAGGAAACAAAAATAAAAAAAAAACTAAACACTCCACCAAGTTTAGGGGAACTGTGGAGAAAAAACTTTCCCCATTTCTACATAAATCAACCTTGAGTTCAAGGCTTGACAGAACTATTGCTATATTATTAATATAGATTGTACATGGACTCGATATTTATAGACAAAAACTATGGTAACATATTCCGAGGAATATTAATGGAATAATTGAATGCTGGAACAGATGGATTTTTGTAGGTATTCTGATTCCAGGAAAAAATGTGGCCTAGGTTTGAAAGGAAGGGAGGAAAAAAAGGGAAGCAGAATTTGGTTTGGTCTATAAATATAAAGTTAATCTGCGCTAATCCATTCTTAAGGAAAACATTTTACATTGCTGCAAATAAAACCACCAAATGATGTACCTGAAAGCTGTGATTGGGATGTAAACTAAAGAAAATTCTGTAGGCAGTTCCAGCGATATTTAATTAGTTTAATGAAGCCCTAATGAAGTAGCTTTAAATAAGTTAAGTGAAACGATTCAAGTAGTTAAATGAACACCGCATGAGAGTCGGAATAAATTCAAAAGTACAAAGTATAGTTTAATACTTTTTATTTAACAACAAATGCACATTTTCTTCGCTTACTTATGTGTTACATACTTACACATTTTGATTGCATTTCCATTGAACTGGAAAGATGTTTTTCCATTCAATTTGAAAAATGGAAGCCCACATACACAACTTTCGAGCTGCCTGCATTGAAAAGGTATCCGTTTGTGAGGATTAGAACGGAGCATACATTTCTGGCTGCTGTCCCCTTTTTTTCTTTGAATTCGGCGCTGTATTTTCCCCCATAAAGACCCATCGATACAGGCAAAAATAAAGCGAGCTGCGATCGAAAAAACCAGCAAAAGGCGTTACCAGTGTAAAAACCCAAAGGCTCGTTTGCCACAGCAGCCGCTGCTGCTGCCTGATGATGATGATGATGCCTTTGCCACACAGTCTATGCCCCCTGCTGGTGCAGCATTGTTCATTTTTGTTGGATATTTTCCCTCTCTCTGTTTAATTGTGAGATAAAACTTACCGATAATGAGCAGCTTTATGGTGGACATGTTTGCCCGTGCTTGCTGTGCTTTTTTCCCTCGATTTTCCTTGCGCGTTTTATGCTCGCTGTTGTTGATTTTTATTTTGGTTTAATTCTGTTTTTTTATTTATTTTTTTGTTGTTGTCTGTTTTAATGCGTAGCCGCAGCTGTGGCTGAACGATTGATATTTACAAAAATATTAATCCATTCGAGAGTGCGAAAGAGACGGGCACGATAAGAGCGAGAGCGAGAGCCGCGTAACAGTTTGACAATCACTGGTCGTCATGAGCGCGTTAAATTGCATTTTAATGTTGGTATGGCAATGCCACTTTGATGGCTATAATGCTACACATGCCACATATGCCACACATGCCACATTCTTTGCCAGTTGTAAGGGGTGCGCTTTATTTTTCTTGCTGTTTTATTTAATTCTTTTTACGATTTCTTGTATTTTGTAATTGTTTTTGTTTGCCTCTTTTATGTTAAATGTTTGCTAAACAGTTCGCTTGATTTTATTTCAAAGTTGTCGGAAATAATTTTTTAAATATATTTTTTTAAATATATTTATAACGCTTTTCAACACTTTTGGGCTCCGAATTTGCCCTGTGCGGACGGGTACGGGAACTGTAATTAAATGTTTTCAATTAAATTAAATAAGACATTGCCACAATGATGCATCACACACACACACACAGAGAAAGAGATAGAGAGACGCACGCACAGCATTTGCCCAATTCCAGAGATGTGCGCCTCATGCAAAATGCAGTAGAAAGACGCCTAGAAGTAGGCAATGAATATTTAAAGCCACAGACATTTCAATTTGAAGCAAGTCTCTCGTCCATCTCTCCCCCCGAAGAAGAATGAGTTTAGGCAACGCCCAGACATTAAATTAACATATTTCCTAAATAATAATAATTTCCCCCCCAAGTCAATGGGCGCTCTGCATGTGCGGTCAGAGGTCAGAGCTGGCAGATGGATCCCTATAAATGGAATTGGACATAGGATGGTCGCCGCACACAGAGCAGAGCAGAGGGAGAGATAGAGTCCGTCTGCTCTCTACACATGTAAACTGTTGCCTAATGTCTTATTCATGTTTACACTGTCCTCCTGCCAGGACTAGGACTTATGAGCGGTCTGCATGTCAGTCGCTCCAACTGCTCTTTGCGTGCCCCAAACTTATTACAAATCCCCAGACCAGAGGTGTGAGTGTTGTCCCGGTTATAGAATGGTTAATGAGCGTAGTGAATGAAGCACCAAGCCCCGGCAATTGTTGCTGTGCTATTTATTTAAAACTGTCTCAAAGCACACACAAAAGACAGCCCTTCTCCCCTCAAAATCCCACACCCAAAGACAAAGCAAAGCCTCCCACACCCAAAACACAATGGAAAAGCCTCCCCCAACTAATGGTTAATGGAAATCGTATGCCTCGTTGGCTTCGACTCTGACTTTGCAGTTCTGGAATTAAATGTTGTTATATAATTTTGGATGGCTTATTAGTTATTTATGGCCGAGAAGATATTGGTAACAGGTGAAACTATACAGCCAAAGCTGTTGATGTGTGGCTGCTGTTGGGTTTTCCATGAAATTTAACATCCTTTTCGGGTCAAGATATTTCCAGAGTTAAGCGAGACTAAGAAATTAATTGTTTTAGAGTGAAATAAACTCATTTTTGGATACATTTTTGTTTAATTTAAAGTGAATGAACTTGATTTAAATTACTTTAAATTTATTTGGACCCTTCTCAACATTTTGAAGGCTGTGGAGAGCAGCTTTTATTCTTTCCACAATTATTCTCATTTCTAGGAATTTCATTTGAGTATAGAATGTTACATTTTCCCAGGAAAACTGCTGCCAAATTGCTTGTGTATGGTTCTAGAGTGGATCTATAATGGATTTATCTACAATAATCTCTTTAAAACAAGCTTAGAGCGTAGGTAGAGCTTAGGGCTGTGCCTAGTAGAGCGGAATACCTCTTTAGCAGTCTCTTAAGAGATCAAATTAGAGATAAATAATATATCTTCAGGTTAACTAACAGCTTTTAAATCTGCTTCAATGTTTTCTAACTAAACCCCATCATCAAATTATGTCCAACTTAAGACATTTCATATCAAATTTAAATCCTCACAAAACACTTAACATTTCACTCCCTTTTCATGCGCAAAACTCTCTTCTGTATCACTTTAAATCCACTACCAACTTATACACTGAATCAAATCCACTTTAACTACATTAAAGCCCTACAACTTTTCCCTAGAAATAACAGCATCAAATCCTTCTTCCATAACTCTGCCATAGAAATATGGAAATATGCTGCTGCCCCAAAATTGTAACAAATTGAATAAACTAATTCCCCCAACAAGGACTCTGACCTCTTTACAACTCGTAATAATTTTCAGCACACTCATAAGGAAAAAAATAAACTTTAAGCTAAACCTTCTTTCAACAACAGCAACACAATGACCCAAGAAAAGTTAGCAAAGAAATGTGCCAGGTCCCACAAGAAAGACCAAAAAATCAGCTGTCACAGTGGAATAATAAAAATAATTTATTTGCATTTTATTTGCGCAGCGAAACTGGCAAGAATCTAGGAGCACCTAGAGCAGAGCAGAGCAGAGCAGAGCAGAGCAGCCTCCTTGGTCTGGTTTTTTGTTGTTGGGGGTTTTCTTGTCACTGACTTTGGCCCAGCGGCAGACGCAAGGACAACAAGTTGGCGAAAAGCGACACACACACACACACACACACACACAAGTAGCACAAGATATCCCGAGCAAGCGAAAGCAAAAAAAAAGCAAAGGAAATTATAAGGATTTGACAGATGAGCGAATGCGACAGAAAGAAGGAGCACAACGCCTGGCTGGCACAGAGCCATCGCGGGCGACTCCTCCATGAAGGTAACTGGAGCACAAAGCATTTGGGACATTGGATTTGTATTTGTATTTGGGCTTGGGGTTTTGTGGATGCTTTCAATTGAGCAGAAATTGTTAGTCACTGTAGTTGCAGTTGCAGGTTTCAGTTCGCTGTGTGTGTCTGCGTCTGCCCCAGTTTCTAGCGCCAGTGCTAGGGCTTGGCTTGGCTTGGCGACGGCATGAATATGCATGCGGCATGGCGCACAGCCTGAAGTGGAAGACAGGAGTGGTGGGGGGAGAGGAGGTACGTTACGGGCAAGGTCACAAAATATACCAGCAAGGGAAGGAAGGAGTGAGAGATGGTGGACCCTGCAACAGTTGCACTTGAGTGCCATTTGTCGAAAGAGGCCTCGGCAATGGGTTTGGGTCGGGGATCTGCTCTGGGTTCTGTGCACTGACTGTGGTCCGTTTGCCTCCCAGCAATTTGCATAATTACAAACGCACATGTAAACGAAGCGCGGTTTCCTGTCCGCAATTTCCACTGCGGCGCCTACACAGACACACACACACGCGCACAGAATACACGCACACACACACACGTGTCTCGGTTTCGGTTTTTCACGCTGACTTTTCCACGTTAAAAAGTTCGTTTCGATGTTTTGCTGTCGTTGCAGTTCGGTTTTTGCCCGCTTTTTCCGCCCGTTGCCACTGAATGCTTCTTACCAACTAAATGCAATTTCAGTTTTGTTTTACCTTAAAAACGAACCCACGAAGGATCCCCCAAACGAGCGCTTATATGGAGCTTCGGCAATCTTCGTTGTTTGCGCGAGTTCGTGGCTCGTGCTGGGCCGGCGGCAGCGGCAGCGGAGCGCCTTCGGGTTTGATGTATTTTCGCGGCGTTTGCGCAGAGAGTGGTCACTGGCAACATGTTGCCAAGGGAGAGCACAGAGGAAGAGAGCGACTGGGACTTGGAATTGGGACAGAGCGCAGCGACGACACATGTGGCAAGTTGTTGAACTTTTGTGGTAGGTTAGGGTTTTCAGAGCGTGGCAAGAGTGAAATAAGTTTTAACAAGTTGTCGTAGGACCAGCACAAGAGGTGCTAGAGGTGATTTTGGAAGGATTTATGCTATTTTTTGTCTTGCTTATTACCACGCGTAAATATACAACAACTTTGGAGCTTTTCTTTGTAGAATTTGAATGGTAATTAGATGTTTCTGAGTCGTAATTAAAATCTAAGACTGCTATAAAAAAACAGCTTTCAAAGTCAACCAAGTAAACCAAAGTACACAATTTCGATGAGGAAATTGATTCTTTCTGGGGAAAATGTTCCAAAATACCTTGTACATTTTTTATACAACATAATCTGGGAACATTTTAGTAGCTGAAGATGATTTAGCTAAGAGTTTTAGCAAACAAGGCTACAAGTTGAATTTCGATAACGATTTTCAGTCGATTTGCTAGCCAATCAAATGGTTTTCATCCTAATTTGCTCCTGGATTTAAACTAATTGAACAATTTCATGGCTATAGAAAGGCAAATTCATTATCCATAGACTCATTTTCCTATCCTTACATTGATTTCAAACAATTAGTTCCCTCCTGGAATTGTTCTTCTCTGTTCACCTCATATGTACATATAAAAATGTTCTATGACTCTAATAATCATATCTGTATTTCTGTTAATTGACTTGATTTAATTCCCCAACACTTATTTTATTTACACCAATACAATTTGTTTTGTTTTTTGGGTCAATCGCTCTACGAATTGCCTTGCCTTACTTCTGCCAACGGACTTCTGTTGTTTATGACCAAAAACATTCACGACAGGCTGAAAGCAGTACGCGAAGCGCTTGTCGTTCTGGGCCAACATTTTTTGCTCCAATCCTGGTTGACTCTCTGAGAGAGCAAAGACACTGTTTCAATTCCATGTTGGACCGCTCTCCTCTTGCAACATGTTGGGAGAATGCAGTTTGCTGCCTGCATGCATTTTGGCATTTTATTTTGCTGGTCAGAATCAACAGTTGGGCCTGACAACTGCAGACGGAATGTTTGAGGTCCTTCAGATTTCTATTTCCAAGGGGTGTTGCCCGGGGTCATACCAATATCTATTTAGGCGCAAGAGGGAAAAAGTGTCGTGCAATCAGGAAAAGTGGAAACCAACTCACACACACTCCTCCTGCCGCTTCTTGCCTCTTTTTTTCTGAGTAGTTTATGACTTGACTGCCAGCTTGACGAACCCAGCTCT